TCAAAAATGTTCAAAATGTTCAAAAATGTGCAAAATGTCTTGAAGTAACAAATGCTATTACATTTCTTAAATAATGATAAAAATTATGGTAATATTATGATAACAAGCTTTGATTGTAAGCTTTCCTGAATAGGAACGTTTTAAGATTTTTCTTGAAGTCACGAATGTCATTACATCTCTTTAGTTCTTTGGGAAGTGTATTCCATAGTTTGGGACCCATGTACAGAAATGCTCTTTCATATTTCTCTTTCTCATATGTTTTAACGGTTTTTGATTTTCAGGAAGACCAACCAAAAGAATGCAAACAGCAATAAACTGCCTGACCCCTCCCATGAAGGGAATTATTTTGTCTTTAATCTGATTCTTCAGATTTCACTTTAGCTACCAATCCACGCGGTTCAGACGCGATAACCTAATACCATCATTGAGCTGAAGCACCTGATTGGTGGTCCTTGTCACATGATTCAGTCCTAAATTGCGTGTAAAAATATCTTGATAAATAACAGCAGTATGAGATTATTAGTAGATTCCTCTGTTGATAAGGAATTCTTAGTAATTGCTGCGTTTTGTAATAAAGGAAACATTTGAACAATGATTTAACTCAAATACTTGTGTCACTTGATTAATTTATCTCAACGAATTACCTGATTTCGTGACTGCCAACCTGCGTGACTGAACCTTGCGTGACCGTTAGGTATTCATCATGAGAGTTTCCGAGAATCTCTTTAAGAGCTGTCAAATGCACATGCAATTACAGCACATACAGTACCACAATAAGACAAGACAATAATAGAGCAACAGTTATAGATAGTATATTTGACTAGATATTCTTGACGAAGTGAAGGCATGAACACAGAGGGTCTTATCTCTGAGCGTAAAACTAAGGCCAGGGCCCGGTTGTACGAAGCCTGGATCTTTCAGTCGGATAGCGCTATAGGTTGCTATCAATAGACGTCACTTCCGGTAATAGCTCTTTTTTGATGGCTTGTAGAATTCTGGAGGTTGTTTTGATCTCTTGTTTTCTGGTTTCATGTCGTTAAAATAGTCAAACACAATAGTTTGAGGACTTATTTTGATATGTTTTGACTTAGCATCCGCTAGTTGCCCCACAGTCAACCGCTTGTTTGCCCCCCACTAAACTCCAAAAAAGTCATATGATTGATAGTAAGCAACCCAGGCTTCGTACAGCCAGGCCCAGGTGATTTGGTATCAAGGCGTGCAATGCATTGTTTGTCACAGCGAAAGTCTCCAAGAATTTTGTATCTTGTCTTTCCGCCAACAACAAAAATAATATTTTGAGAAGAAATTTGGCGAATATTTCCGCGGATTACTTAGTCTTAATTTCAAACAAAAGTTGTTGTTTATCGAAAGGAAAACCTGAAACTTGGAAATATTGAGCTACGAATCAAACTACGGGCTGAGAGAAACGAAAACGCAGTTGCATTCGAATGGGGTCACAAAACAGGAAAAACAGGAAAGGCACACGATAGCCTGACATCAAAATACAACGATTCTATTGGTTGAATAAAGACCTGGGTGTAACCTAAAGTACAAGGCAGAGCCCCAAACCATCCAGACAGCTACACTGTATCTACCAACGATCAAGACGTAGAAGAAATTACGGAAAACTTAAAAGAACTTATATACAGAAATTAGCTTAATTAACTGTCCGAACGAAAGCTAACTGAAGGTAAGGATTTAGAGATAGATTTCTGTAAGTTTTTCTAGTTTTATAGCGCTAGACTATTTGTTGTTAAGTTTATTATGCTTCATTTTGCGTCACTTTCGTTTCGTGGGATAAAATCAAATTTTCCTCTTCTACTTCAAAAATATGATCAGCTTTTAATAAACTAATTAACCATGTCTATACATATAGAAGATATGGTTTATTAAGAACCTAGTTTGTTTGTAACAAATGCAAAATTTCAAGTTGTAGAGATAGCTGACTGACTTGGCTTTGTTTAGGAGTTCAAAGGAGAGACTGCTCGCAGGGTAGAAATGAATCATTCGTGCAGTGATATCGGACATGGAGTAAATCTAGTCTACAAGTTTGTTTCTTTTACAAATGGCTGATTGATTCTTGTTGCTCTGATACAGAAACGAGCTGAAATATTGACAAGAACCAAGCGACAGATGATCACGAACGCGGAAGTGAAGTTTACTTCAAATCACCGACGGCAAAAGGGATTGAAAAATCAAGGTAAACTACATTAAAAAAGGCGAAATTTCAAAGAACATGTAAGATTAAGATAGTTTAAAAACCTCCAATTGATTTTGAATTGACAAGATTCGTATTGTCTAGGTAGTCAAGAACGGTTGCAACGTTCTTTGTAACCAAGGAATTACAAAATATTGACAAGAAATTGCGAAAAGTACCAGAACGAGCACCGCTACAGAGGTAAGGATGCTAACTGCAACTGAATATTGAAATCATATTTATTTTAGAGTGTGATCACCTAACAATGGGAGTTTATGATGAAAATCTAGAAATTTGAGTGCTATGAAATAAAGGTGTTTCGTGTGGCGTTGTCTGTGATTAAATACAGTCGAACTGAATCCCGGGAATTTCCATGAACCCTCGGTAACTCGAATCTCACGTTTATAAACTCGAACCGTCCAGGACTCGAACACGAAGCGATTTTCGTTTTACTTCAGGTCGTTTTGTATATAATTTACCACCGATAACTCGACTTCGCTTTAAGACAACAAGTCACAACATACGCTAGAATATTAATTATATTGTACAGCTATTTCTCGTCACGCATCACCAGTATCTCTTTATATGTTTTGATTGGACTTTCGGCACGTGTAGCCCAAGCTTCGGTGTCACATATTTATATTATATAAGGCAATGTATGGAGAGTTTTTAAACACCGTAATTCAATGGAAATATTTCAAGCTCACACTGAGACAGGGTACATGAAATAACGCTCTCTCCCCTCTGGAACAGGGTATCCATTTTCGCACGTAAATCAATGGAAATATTTCAAGCTCACTCTGGGACAGCGTATATGAAATCACGCTCTCTCCCCTCTGGAACAGGGTATCCATTTTCGCACTACTGGAATAATAATAATAATCTTTATTGAGATAACTTTTTCATAATTATGATTTTCAAAAAGGACCTCATCAAAATAACAACAGGGAACAGGGTATGATTTTCAGCAATCTTACTCTGGAACAGGGTCAGGGTGGTAGCACATCCCTACCCTAAACAGGCAAGAGTACCCAGTCCCCCCCCCTAACTCTGGCAATTCAAATTCAAAACCACTTCATATAACCATTTCGAAAAACCTGGCATTTTGCATCCTTTCGTTTCTCAAAAGGTCATAAGCCCATTTTCAGTGATGTGGCTGGGAAGTAAATTCTTTTTGAGAACCTTTCCCAGTCATTCATGATAGCGAGTAGTTGATTGGAGGTTTGAAATTAAGCATGAAGCCTTGAAAGCGACATTTGACGTACAGGAATTATTGGTCACACATGACATCATCATCAGATCATCATCATCACTATCATCACCATCATCATCACCATCATCATCATCATTATTATCATGATGATGATGATTACTATTATCTATTATTATTATTATTATTATTTTAATTATTTATCGAATCTTGACAATAACATCGAACGTAAGAAACTTAAATATTCGAAACTCGTAAATAGACAAAAGAGCCAATTCACGGATGTCAAGTTCGTCAATCTATCCATCAGCAATAACCTTGGTGTCTTCTCCAACAAATCATCAGAGTTTGTAGAAATGATGAAGGAATTAGGTTTAGAGAAAAAGCAGCAGAATTATGTATTTAGGAACGTAACGATAATCATCATCAGATCCACTTATTACATTTTTTGTTGTCGTAACAAAGCATGGGATAATCCTGAATTGATAATGTTTAAGTTTTGTGAATTTTCAAGTGTTCGCAAGTCATATTCGAGTAGTCAATTGTAAATTGTCTTTAAGTAGAGAGATTTATAATTGCTGTAAAAATGTTAAAAATAAAGTTTTTATTATCATTATCTATTATTATTATTATCTATTATTATTATTATTATCATCTATTATTATTATTATTATCATTGTTCAAAAAAGTCCACATACACAGCTGACCTCACTCCTTGAATAAAACTTTACTGACCCTCCCCTCCCCAACCTTTTTTCCTGGAACAAAAGTGTTTATTTTTAACTTGTTATTCAACAGAGATAAACCTGATATGGCAACCAGTTGGCCATCTTCAAGGAAAGAAAATCTAAACTTTTTTCGTCTTTCAAAGCTGTTGATTGAATGTGGAACACATGTCTTAAAAGATATATTCGACTCGATCCATTCACCAAGCTCTCTTGACAGCACACTACGTGGTACAGCAGTACATTCTACTCTAAAGGGCCTGAGAACAAAGAGGATTCTAACCACTCAGCAATGGGACAGACTCTACCCTGCCAGTACAAGTACACTTGTCACTTCAGCAGATTTTGACATCACACTGTTATTTGTACTGTTGCGTAATATATGTAGCTTAGCACCCCCAGCAACAGGATGGGACAAGCCTCCTGTTGCTACAGACCTGAGTAAAGAAGCTGATTTGGCTCGAGTCAAATATTATAGAAATGAACTTTATGGCCACATCACAAAAACAGCTGTTAGTGACAGTGATTTTGAGAAATACTGGAGTGAGATCTCAGATGCGTTGGTGAGACTGGCTGGATCTCATTACAAACCAGAGATTGAAAGAATAAAGATAGAAGCAATGGACCCTGAAGAGGAAAAGAATTTTACTGAAGTACTTAAAGAGTGGGAAAAAATGGAGCAGACATTACTTGAAAGGATGGAGGAGATTCTTACTAAGAGAGTGAAAGGGAATTCAGCTGCAGATGCTTCACAGGCCAAAGGTGTGTACAACTGTAGCTTTAGTATAACCACCTCTTTCTCTTTTACTCCGACGAAGGACTATAGCGTCCGAAACGTCAGTAAGTTTTTTCATCTTTTCACGGTGTATAATTTACCTTTTTATCATTACTGTTTCATTAGAAACACCGAAGCAGCTCACACTAGTTTTTAGCTAGTTATATCTTCTTTAGTATAACCGTTTAGTTTTCTTCACTTTCATCTATGTCATGGAATATTTCCCCAGGAATTATATTTAACAAAACTTCCATAGGCCAAAAGAACAACCAAAACCATATATTTCAGCCAAAGCTCTTGTAAAAAGATTTTTTTACGCACGATGGTGTAAACAAAATATTCAACAAACGGTTTGTGGAGTGAATACTTTGCATTTTATTTCTTTGATGAAGTCACGTGAAAGCCAAGAATAACCAGATTGTATTTGATAAATCATCAGGGAATATGGTTTTTATTTCACATCAAAACTTTTATGTATTCTAAAGTGATGGTCAATAAGGGAGCAGTCGTTATTTAAGTCGGGGCGAAGACAAAATGTATTTTATGCAAAACATTTTCCAGGCCCCTACCTAATAGCATTCATGTTTTTTGGGTACCTCCCTTCAATCGTTTAAAAAATCCTCCCAGTCTTCCCAATCCTCCTTTTAACCTTTTAAGGCCCCCCATGTTCCACTAAAAAAAAATT